CTCCTTTCTGTCCYGGGAAATGACAATTTTTGTGCTTTTTGGGTGCTTGTGAGGCGGCATCTGAGGGGTTTGTCCCATCAGCTYCATGCCAGGATAATGCAGTGTATTGGTCATTAGTGATGGCTGCACCCAAAAGCATCCTCCAGCCCTTCTCCTGAACAGAGCTTGTTTTTTTGTTTGTTTGGTTTTTTTTTTATTTTTATTTTTATTTGTTGGGTTTTTAATTTTTTTTTGTTAGTTTTTTGTGGTTTTTTTTGTGTGTGTTTTTTTAGTTTTGTTTTGTTTTTGGTTGGGTTTTTTTTGGGTTGGACATTTTAAATATACTTCCCGATAATTAATTTCCTTAAAAAAAAAAAATCATCCCGTTCCAGTTTCGGAATGATGTGTGAATTAGGAAATTGGGGCTTGGAGTCAAAACAAGATGAGGGAAGCAGAGCCAAGCTCTTGCTCTTGTCGGCTGGAGGCCAGAAGACATAAAGAAACCCAAAATTGCCGGTGCATTTTTTTTTTAATTATTTTTTATTTATTTTTAATCTTTTTTTTAGTAGGGAAAGGAGTTTGCCAAAGTGCACACCTCAATTATATTTTCCCCTCTGCAGAGGCCTTACTAGGCTGAAATCAGCTTAATGAAATAAAAGTGTTCATTTTTTTTATAACTGACCGGTAGTGCGGGGCATGTGCATTTCAGAGCACAGTAAACTGACTCTAAAACAATCTTTTTTATGGTGTCTCAAACCAATCCTTAAAAYCTGGGAAATTCTTGCCCTTGCACAGATTATTACTGCTGCCCTCAACGCCTTACAGCTCAAATAACAAGAGATTTTCAGCAGATCGAAATAAAAAGATCAAATCTAAAACGAGGTACAGAAAATATCAGAAAAATCAGGAGGTTTTAGAACGGATGAGGAATAATTCTTAAGCAAAACACAGCAATAACCCTAAAGCGCTTTATTAGTGTGAATCAATAYAACATTGCTATGAAATATTTAGGATTCTCCAATGCATCTATTTCTCCACCTTAGAGCTCATTGTAATATTCATAATTCCTGCAATCCCAGCATTCGGTGAGCACGAGGTCACTACCCGGAATTTCCCTGTTTCAGTTSCCAGCACAGGGGCCTTTGCATTTTTTTGGGGTTTGGATCAGAAATCAGGATTTTTGGTTTGGGGGAGGTTTGAAGGAGCGGGGCAGTGGCCCCACACTGAAGTTGTGGATGCCTCAAAAATGCTCTGAGCATCCTGGGGTGCTGGATAAATCCCAGGGATGTGAATTGGGACCCTGGTGTCACCAACACCATCCCTCTGCTCCTCCCCAGAGGACCATGAGCTCACCCAGCTCTGGGGGAAATTGTCATTTAATTTTTTTCCTCAATGTAAACACTGGAAAAAAAAAAAAAGAAGATGGGATCTTGGTGCGTTTTGTGACTTGGTTTCCAGCAGAAGAAGAGCCAAGGCCGTCCCAGTGAACGGGTTTGATGTGAGCAGCTGAACCCTTGTGGCTGCCAGGACCCTTCACCGCTGCACCACCGGAGGGTTTCACCTTCTGCCGAGAGCGGCCTGCTTCTCTTCTTTCCATTCCCTTCCTTTTCATTCCTTTCCGTTCCTTTATTTTTCTTAACTAGCACTTATTTCATTTAATTGTATTTTTCTATTTATTTTTCTCATTCCCATTTAAATTTCCCTTTTTAATTTTATTTTCCTTTTAAATTTTTCAGGGTTTTTTGCGTTTAATTTTTCCTTTTTTTTTTTTGTTTGGTTATTGTCATCGTTGTTTTTCCATTCTATTTCGCTCTTTGTTTTCTTTTCCCATTTTCATTTCCATTTTTTTTTTTCCCCCCCAATTCCACGCTTAAGCCTGCTTTGTCTTGTCTCCTGCCGGAACATTTAACGAAGGGGGCAGCCGCTCCCACGCCAGTAGGGTTTTTTTATTGTTGTTATTGGTATTTTTTTGACGCTTTGTTCCATCCCCAGGGTCCATGGTGCCCATCGGGGTGTGGGTCGGGGTGCCCAGCATGGATTAGGGGAACACAAAGCCCCAAGGAAGACACGASGGCTCTTGTTATCCAGGCCGTGCAGGAAAGAGTTAACCCATTAGAAATTCCGAGCCCTTCTTCCGATAGTTAAACCTGATTTGCATGCATTTGCATAATGAATGTCATTTGCATTCTTGGAGGTTGGCTACTTCTGTGGGAAAAGTCAAAGCGGGATTGCGGGGAGGGCGAAGGGGGGTCGGCGAAGAAAGAAGGGAAGATTTTTTTTTTTTTTTT